CTAGGTTAGAACCTGTTATCACTCTTAACAGATCTCAATTTTCATGGATTCATTTGACTCTTACTACTGTATTGGGATTCTTCTCTTCCCTTCACCTTTTGTCTGAAGCATATCAATGGTCTCCTCATCAGTTTGATGATGAACTGGTTACTACTATGGCTTGTTTGTCCTCTTTAGGCCTTGCCTTGGTGTCATAGCTGGTCTGTTGCTAGGACTTATTGAATCGAGATGACTTGTTGGAAGGTATTTGTTTGTCTTCCTCTGCTCTTCGTGATTTATGGTAGGTGCTCTTTCTTCAGCCTCACTTGTTTGCAGTCTTCTTTATTGTTGTTGGCTGCTCACCTCCCTTCTGGAAGATTGACCAATTGCTTTGACACTTTGTCCTATTGGTTCACAGAATTGGTTCTATTCATATTCTAGGGGATCTTCGGATAGGTTTGGACGGTGTCAATGGCATCAGTGACTACCCATCTTCACCTGGTCCTGTGGGAGGACGATTACATCTCTTTCACCACATTTGGTATTCATTCACCATTGATCCTTGGGTTCTCAGAGTGCTGGATTCAAGGCTTCATATTCAATTTACTTCTCCTCTTCTTTTGTCCTCCCATCTGGTTGTCTTTTCTCCTCCTTCAGACTTCAGATGTGCAGATATTTGTTCCCGGGCCATTCAGGAGTTGTTCAACAAACAAGCCATTGAGAAGGTCGATCCCATTCATCCAGGATTCTATTCTTTTCTATTTCTGGTGCACAAGGAAACTGGAGATTAGCATCCTATCATCAATCTGTCTTGACTCAATCACTTTCTACAGCCTCCTTGTTTCACCATGGAATCTTTTCTACAACTTCGATGGCACTTCATATCAGGTCTTTGGATGACCAAGTTCGATGTTACACATGCCTACTTTCACATCCCCATAGCAGAGTCTTCTCATCAATTTCTACATTTTGTGCACGAGGATCAGGTGTTGCAGTTCTGAGCTTTCCCATTTGGACTTGCTTCGGCACCATATGTTTTCAGCCGAGTAGTACATGCCTCTGTGCAACATCTCCATTTTCTGGGACTGTGCACACATCACTATATGGACGATTGGCTTCTTTTGGTACCAACCCGTCACGTTGCTGAATTACATACTGAGATTCTCCTTTCCAAAGCTAGAAGGGTGGGCTTCATTATCAGGTTGGAAAAATCCATTCTCTTACCCACTCAATACCTGGTTCATCTTGGGGTTTTTTTTCAACACACATTTGAGTCGGGCTCAACTATCTCCCCTCAGACTTCACAATATGGGAGGGATTGCCAGGCATTTGTTTTCTTTACCTTCTCCCACTGTGCGGATGGTTCTGTCTGTTTTGGGGATTTGGGCTTCTCTAAAATCCCTCGTGCCATTGGGTCGGGCCCATATGAGATCCCTTCCATGGTCACTTCGTGACCAGTGGCTCATGCACAACGATTCTTTGGATCAAATGGTCTCTTTGCTCGAGAACAATTTTGCAGATCTCAAATGGTGGCTAGACAGGAACAACACAACTATCATGATGCCGATATCACATCCTTGTTTTTTTTTTATATGGATTTTTAAGAGAGGTTTGGCTTCTTCTACCATTGCGTTATATAAAGCATTCATAGCTGATATCTTTCGATATTCTAATTATAGGAAGGTTTTTGCCTTTTTAGTTGCCTAATTGGGATTTTTGAGTTGTTTTACATACGTTATCCTTTTGAACCTATGGCCTCCTGTTCATTGTATCACCTTTTCCTCAAGGTATATCTTTATTGTTGTTAGCTTCCTGGACATCGATATTCTAATTTATTTGCCATCCGTATTCAGTGGACTGTATCATTCCACCTATGTTTTGCTCTATCCAGACAGATCCTTTCTACCAAAAACTGTCACTGCCAGAGAAGGGAATAAATCCTTTTCACCTGTTCATTTACCTGGCATATCTCATCTTTACAGTCGATCAGACCCGGATCGTTTGTTGTGTCCAGTCAGAACACTTAGATGTTATGTGGCTCTGACAGAACCATTCTGGGGCCCTAGGAACCAGCATTTTAATCATTGGGATCCTGCGTTTTCCCATTACATTAACCAAAGTGCTTTGGAAGTTGATTCATATGACCTATTTAGGGTTATCTATTGAAGATCATAATATGCTCCATGTCACTTCTCACCAGATTTGGCATCTATTAATGTCATTGGCTGCTCATCTAAACTGTTCTCTGGAGGATATTTTGCAGGCCGGTACGTGGACTGCTTCTGACACTTTCTTATCTCATTACGTTCATGATCTGGCAGTTTCCTCTTCTGTGGCTGTGTTTACTACCTCTGCTAGATTTTAACAGGGAAGTGAGTAACTTTCTTACCTCTTTTACGGTTTTTTCTTTTCTCTTCTAGGGTTTCTGATTATTTCTTTTGGATCCCACTCAGTGATGAGTGTTGCCCAGTCAGGTGTGCTTGTATTTTTTCAAATCTGCACTAGCAACCTTTGTATTGGTTCATGGTTGCAACGGGCTCTGTCAAGATGAGGTGTTCCATAAGACCATTTAGACACAATTCTGGATGGTATTATTATCTCACACTACAACTCCAATGGGCTGCTACTCATGGACTATCAATAGTAAAGCTAAAGGGGATTGTCCCAGTCCCTGCTGGTTTTCGAGCTGCATCAGTTGTGATCGGTTTGCTTTTAAAACTTAAGGAATGTGGTTCACCTGCTGCACTGTCTCTGGAGACCTATTCCTCGAGACTCCTCACTGTGCACATCCCCCCCTCAAATTCTACTAGTGGAGCTAGGGAGTCCTCACCACACCCATTTTCCAGTCGCTGGGGTGGTGGAGAGAGTATTTTCCTTCGCCATGTTGAGTTTTCTCCACTCTCAGAGAATAGGGCAAAGTTTACATAGGTTGAGTATGGCATACATGATCCTGTCAACCCGAGCCTGGGATGTTGTCTTTTGGACTTCATCAGGATAAACAGAAGGATTGTCTACTTTGGTGTTGCTTTCTTTCTTTCATAAATCCGGTAGTTTGAAACTCATTATCCCATGGCTGCAGGTGGGGATCCTATCACAAAGATATGTATATATATTTGCTGTCCAACTTAAATCCAGCTCCGAGTCATGGAACCTCGGCTGCATTGTTGGGGCTGGCCCATCATACTTCCTTGTGTAATATTCCACCCTTTTCACTTTTCAGTAGTTCTGGGTGAAGAGCATACCTGTTCTTGATGTAGTGCAGTTTTTCCCACTTTGGTACCACTTCTTGTGGTACACCTTCGTTCTATGCAGATGCTTTCTGTATGAACTATGCCCTCATCGGTCCCTCCACCTTTTCAATGGTGGATTCTATCTATAAGTGGCAGTGAAGGTATGTATGTTTTGGAAGTTATCGTTTTCCTAATCTGAAAATGTATTTCCAAAGATACTTATTTCCACTGACACTCTCCCTCCCTTCCTCCCCACTAAGCATCGGGATTAGGGACTGGTATGGGGTAAGTTTCGAAAAAGTGATTATATAGTCTGCATACAGTGCTTATATACAATACCTGCATAGAGGGTGTAAGAGGACCGGTGTAAAGTTTTGCAAGTTAGATATTGCTGAGGGCAGTCGAGTGGGGTATAAAAGGCTGGAGCAAGTGAACACAATGTCTAGTTGGCAAGATGGAGATCAAGAAATAGCTATAAGTGTCAGCAGAGGTAAGTATG